TTCATCATCACCAAGTCCTTATTATATGAAATGTTAAAGGGACTTATTTGAGAACAAGAAGATCAAAACTATGAATAGTAAAATGACAACAAACTCACAACTATCTAAAACTGAACCTAAAAAAACAAGAACAAAAACAAACTAAGCAAACAACTGGACAGGAACAGAATCACAAATGGAAATCACAGGGAGGGTTATCAGCAGGGAGGGGGAAGAGGGAGAATGGGGGTAAAAGGTACAAAGAACAAGAAGCATAAATGGTAGGTACAAAATAGACAGGGGGAGATTAAGAATAGTATAGGAAATGAAGAAGCTGAAGAACTTACATGTACGACCCCTGGACATGAATTAAGGGTGAGGAAGGCCGGGCTGAGAGGGATAAAGAGAAGAATAAATGTGGGACAACTGTAGTAGCATAATCAATAAAATATACTTAAAAAAATAAAAATAAGAAAAATTATTCAGAATACCCAGCTGAACAGTAGCTGAAGAGGAATCTTAAAACCAAGGACATAGAGAAGAAACAACTTCACCACAACAAGACTGGCAGGGAGTGTGGAGAAAGCACCAGAGGGATGGCTGGGATCCCACAGTTGACAACTGAAATCCAGGAGAGATGTTTCAGAGGCGAGGGGCTTCCCCTTGAGAAGTGTGAGGTCTAAAATCCAAGCTGGGTTCCCCAGCCTGTAGCACCATGACTGGGAAAGGAACCCAAATAACACCTGGCTGTGAAAAGCAGTTGGTTTTCTGTCTGCCAGGGAAATATAGCTAGAGATACAGAGAGCCTCTTAAAGGGCCAACACACAAACTTTTATTTGCAGTTACTTACCCCAGGTTCTGGAAGAGAGAGGGCAGAGTGGAGTTGAGACCTGTGAGAAGAATACGGGGTAGGGGGCTTTGGGGAGAGAATTGAAGAAACAGTGGCCAGGATCCCTGTGCTGAGTCATTCCCCAAACTGCAGGAGCCATCTTTCTCAGCCAGAACACTCCTTTCTGAATGGCATCAGCCTGAGGGGAAGCAATAGCCAACCTACAGGAATCACTCTACCGCATCCTGTGGAGCTCAAGCCAGGCTGCTGAGGAGTACAGATGGAGGTTTTTATCTTAGTGATTAAGTCTAACAGCAAAGGTGGATCACTGGGAACTGTGAGACATTAACTGACCCTCCCCTGGGCCTGGTGCTAGTAAAAGCCAATGTTAGCGTGCAGCCTGGTTCTTTCTGCACACACCCAACTGAGCAGAGGGAGGCTCAAGCTCTGGATCGTTGATAGCTCCCAAAAAGTTGCCCAGGGCCAGTCACAAGGAGCACACAACATAGGGCTGTACCAGAGTCTGTGCAGACCTACCTAACACACAGAAACAAAGAGGCAGTCAAAATGGAGAGACAAAGAAACAGGTCCCAAAAGAAAGAACAAGAGAATTCTCCAGAAGAACTAAATGAAATGCAGGCAACTTATTAGATAGAGAATTTAGAGTAATGATTAAGAGTATAGTCAACAGCATGAAAAAAGACATAGAAACCATAAAAAAGGACCAGTCAGAAATAAAGAATGCAGTATCTGAAGTAAATAATACACTGGAAGGAATAAAAAGTAGGTTACATGAAGCAGAATATTGAAACAGTGATTCAAAACGGGTAGGAAAAAAACACCAAAGCAGAGCAGTATAATAAATAAATAAATAAATGAGAATCAAGATGGCAGAGGAGTGAGTGGAAGTCACACTGACCTCCTCCCAGGAGTTACAACCTGGAATTACAACCAAACTGTGGAGATATCACCTGGAACAAACAACTGAAAAATAGCAAGAGAGGAGCCTGGGTGGGGCACCCACAGGCAGCAGCAGCAGAAGGGATATTGAAATGGCGGTGGGATCTCCCTGAGAAGAGCGGGGTCTAAACCAAAAGCGGGGATCTCTAGCCTACACCACCAGAACTGAAAAAGTAAACAGAAAACAGGGAGCTGCAAAAAGTGGCAGGGTTGCTCTCTGCCAGAGACTGGCGGCTGGAGACGCAAAGAACCAATTAAAGGGCCAAAGCATAAGTTTTTATTTGCAGCCACTTACCGTGGTCTCCGGCAAAGGAGAGGGCAGAGTGGGATAGAGACAGCTGAGGAGAGAATGGGGAAGGAGGCTTTGGGGAGAGAACTGAGAGAGTAGCTGGTGGGAGCCCAGTGCTGACTCCTCCCCCATGTGGCAGCAGTGGGAGAGGACCCAATAACCCTGCCCCAAGGAGGGACTCCGCCCCTCCCTGAGCTGTCTAAGGCAGCCTGCTGAGTGCAGAGTGACTAGATTAATAGCTGAAGGAGACAGCCACAAACAGTAGATTCCTTGAAGTCTCCAACAGATCACCTAAGGTCAGACAGGGAAGATATCTGACATCTATGGAGGCAGGTACAGAAAGTAAAAACAGCGGTCTCCAACCATGGAAGTTCACACCATAAAGTCAGGAAATCAAGACAGATCAACTTAAGAAGCAGAAACAACAAAGAAGAGCCTCACAAATCATGGGAAGACAAAGAAATACCCCCTACTCAAAGGGAAAAGAGGAATCCCCAGAAAGAGAACTAAATGAAATAGAGGCGAGTAAACTATCAGATATCGACTTGCAAACAACAGTTCTAAGAACGCTCAAGGAGCTCAGTGAGCTCAGAGAGAATTACAAAAAACTACAGGGAAACTATGAGGAACTTACTGCAAACTATATCAGCATGAAAAAGGACAGAGAAACTATCAATACAAGACATGAGGAAACGAAGAATACAATTTCTGAATTGAAGAACACAGAAGGAATCAAAAGCAGGATCAATGAATCAGAGGAGCAAATCAGCGAGCTCAAGGACAAGGTAGAAAAAAGCTCCCAGAAAGAGAAAGAAAATGAAAAAAGACTCAAAAAGAATGGAGAGGCGTTGAGGGAACTGCAGGACAACCTGAAATATAATATCTGTACAATAGGGATACCAGAAGGAGAAGAGGATGAAGAAGGGATAGAGAACCTGTTTGAAAAAGTAATGATGGAAAACTTCCCTCATTGGAGGACAGAAAAAGTCACACAAGTCCAGGAAGCACAGAGGAACCCAGTGAGGCCCACTCCAAGAACATCATCATTAAAATGGCAAATATCAAAGACAAACAGAGAATCCTCAAGGAAACAAGGAGAGAGAGGTAGTAAAGTATAAGGGAGCCCCGATATGGCTAGCAGCTGACTTCTCAACAGAAACACTGCAAGCCAGAAGGGAGTGGCAAAAATATTCCAAGTCATGAAAAGCAAAGGCCTGCAACCAAGACTGCTCTATTCAGCAAGGCTCTCAATTAAAATGGAAGGCGAAATAAGGAGTTTCCCAGACAAAAGGCAGCTAAAAGACTACACCTCCACCAAACCAGCACTGCAAAATATGCTACAGGGGACTGCTTTAAGATGAAGAAAGCGTCTATAAATACCCAGTTCCTTTCACAATTGCCACTACTTGACATTACCAATATCTCTTAATACTTATTGATCTGATTGTGACAATGATGTGGTATTTTAATTGTTCCTGTGTTATTTGTTGAAACTGAACTTGTTTTTGCATATTTCTTGCCTATTTCTATTATTTTTAAAAAGCTTTAAATGACTTTTTGGTATTCTTTATCCATTTTTTGATTAAATGTTTGTAGAATTTTTTCCCTAAAAAAACAAAACAAAACAAACCATTAACCCTTTTTTAGATGTGTTGCAAATACTTTCCAATTCAATTACTTGTCCTTTACCTTTTTTTATATGTATATTGCTGTACAGTCCTAAATGTTTAATATAGTCATATTGTCAATATTTTACTTTATAGCTTCTGAATAGGGTTTGAATATTTTACTTCAGGGTAAGAAAAATATTAGTTTGTATTTTCTCCTAAAACTCCTTAGATTCTACACATTGATTTTTAACTCACCTGAATATTTCTTGTATAATGTGTGAAATAGGGCTCTATATTTGTTTTATTTCAAGTAATAGTGGCCCATGCACCTTATTTGTTGAATAAGCCTTATTTTCCCCATTGACTTGAAATATCAACTTAATCATATATTACATTGTTAGACAGATATATGCGTTTGTCTCCAGAATGCTCATTATATTTCATCGATCTACTTGATTATTTCTGTGCTGGTGTCATGTTGGTTTAATTGCTGAGACTTTATAATGGTTTTAAATTTTTTAATATTTTATAATTAACTTTGACAATAAAAAGTAAAATCAATCTGCATTTAAGAAAGAAAGAAAGAAGAAAGAAGACAGGTAGAGAGATGGAACTCCTACCTTTTGTGACAACATGGATGGAACTGGAGCATATTAAGCTAAGTGAAATAAGCCAGTTGATGAAACACAAATACCATATGATCCCACCTATAAGTGGACTCTATTCAACAAAATAAACTAACAAAATAAACCACAAGAATGGAAACATGGAGAAGACTTTAAGTGACCAGAGGGGATGGGGAAATAGGACAATGGTGAAAAGAAAGGGAAGGGACTCGACAAAGAACATGTATGAATGACCCACGGACATGGACAACAGAGTAGGAATTGACTGAGGAAGCAGAGGGTGCAGGTGGAGGGGATAAAGGGGGGGAAATTGAGACAACCGTAACAGAATAAACATGATTTATAAATTTAAAAAATAAAAAATACACTGAAAAAAAAATCATGCTTGTATAATTTAAAAGTCACATTAAAAATCCTTATCCTTAACCAAATTTCATCTCTTCTATTGTGGGAAACTTCCCCAACATAATTTTTCTATCGTTATGTATTTCCCCTCCCCCTTTCTCTTTTTCAGCCCCTACCTTCAGTACTAAAAATTTTTAAATAAATACAAGACATCATATTTCAACAAAAGTGGTTTGCCCTGACAAATTTTCCATTACAAACATAAAATAATGATAGGCCAACCACTATTAAGTTTTTAGAGTAAGTGCTACACAAGACTAAACTCAGGGCAGGAAAATTATTTCCATGATGGAGCACTTTACCTTGATACAAAAATCGGAGTCTTCGTCATCTAGTGATGTCTCTGAATCATTAGCGGTAGATTTGCAGGGAATACTTTAGAGTAAAAATAGCCAACAGAAATTAGTTCATTTTGTTAAAAAGCAACCCCCAAAAAATGAGTGAAAGGTCAGTTATCTGTGTATTAAATGAAATTTCTTTATATAATTAAAATTTGGCTTGTTGGGTTTTTTTTAGTTATTTATTTCTGCCTCTGCCTCACCCAACCTATAAACTATTCAATGAAGACACACTCCAATTTCCCAGAGTGACAGCCAATATATTGGCAAAGCCTGAAGTTGGTTTGTTTTCACCAAAAGTCCTAAAGGCTGAATTAAAAATCCAATAAGTGGCTGAATTTACATCTCACTTCCACCACTTACCATATCCAAATAAGTCACTTTAATTTCTTTGAGTTCAAATTCTCCATGAGAGCAACCAGTTGGCCAGAATGTAAAACGCAGGTTGCCCAGGATGTTAAACACAGGTTGAAGTACTAGAGTATGTTTTCATTAATTGATCGCGAAGATTCCTTAAAGTCCTAAAATTCTATGTGCTTTTGATTCTGTCTATAGAAAAATGGAGAACACATAGCTGGCAGAAGTGGAAAAAATAACGCAATGAGAAAAACTCCAAAAAAAGGCAGAGAAGAAAGTTAAAAAGTAAAAATTAAAAAACGTCATGAAAGGAAAAAGGACTCTGGTGGGGGGGCTGGGGGGAAGCGGGGAAAGCTTCATACAACTACGTAAAATTAGTGGCATGAAGGGAAAACCAGACGGGAAGTCAGTGAGTAGAGAAATCAATTAGAAGTGTCCTCTACATAGATGCTGAATTGAACTGATGTAAAGTGGTCTACACATAACATTCTTCATTTACAGAAGAATAATTCATATCAAGAAAAATAGGTATCATCATGCTTAAAAACACTTTCCTGATTAGGTATGCCTTCCTTAGGTAAAACCTATGGAAGTTAGTTATGTGGCCATTACTAACTGAGATGTGACCTAAAGCCTTTTTTGGGAAAAACAAAGTAGTAGTTACCACTGTAATTGTCAAGCACAGGGTCTGGCAGAAGCAATACCTGCTTGAGTGTGGTTGGTAAGGTAATAATATAGGTATAATAATTTATAATTTTAATATGAACATTTCTCCAAAAATATATGATGTGCTTGAGTGTGATGTTGTTACATTATAGAATTACATGCTTATGATTTTGTAATAAAAAACAGGTGTTATTTGTGCCTGACCCTATTAAGACAAATGGTTGGGTTTCTTAAGTAAACTGTAAATCAGAGTTAACACACAACTAGATTTGACTTTCAGAGGGGATCTGATTTGCATCCACATCTCAATGCCACTGCTACATAGAAACTTATCAATGTATGTTGAGGGACAGCAGAATGGATTTGGGAGCTAAGCAGGTTGACACTCAACTCATGAGTCAGCCCCTTGTTAACTATGGAATCATGGGTCAATTAATCCGCCTCCCTGAACCACAGTTGCCTCACTTATGTAAAGTAGGCTGTAAGAACACAGCTACTTTGCAAAGGTATTGCAGTGACTGCATAACACATGTTAATTACATAACATAGTGTGCTGCCCAGGGTAGAACACTCAAGAAATGTTAGTTTCTTTTCTCTGCATTCCCTTAGTGAACATATAATTTTTTTAAAATCCATAAAATCCTACCTTCTGGAAGAGGCTTTCTCAGACTTCTCATTCACTAATAAAGAAAAAAAGGAAAATACATTTTAAGTCAACAGTAGAAAAATAAAGAACTTTAAAAGTACCATTTTCTGTAAATACTAAAGAAAAGGTCCATTTTTATAACAAGTCCAATTTTTTATTAAATGACTATAGAAAAAACATACAACATCCTAATTCAACATCCTTTTTCTCTTTTACTTAAAGGTACTATATGAAATTTTAGGGGTTATGACTAAATAAATGAACTTCTTTTCAGACAATATTTCTCCAGATCTTAAATTACCTACCGTTAACTTTTTAATGAATACTGAATACTATTCTATTAAGAAAGAAGAACTATACATGCAATTTACAGGATTTTTTTCACTGCTCTATCATTATCATAACTTCTTTACTCTTATCTATGTTAGGACCATCAAGAATAATTCACTATCAGAAGTCTTACCAAGACTTTTGCTACTTTCAGAACTCATATCGAATCCCCCTTCTTCTTGCCATGCAAAAGTTACTAGATGATTTCTGCATATAAAAAAATGGTGACAAATAATATTACTATCTTAATACTGATGTAAAAAATACTTTCCAAGTACAGGGTCTGGCACGAATTATGAAATCTTTTATTACAAAATCATAAGCATATAATTCTCTAACATAACAATATCACACTCAAGCACACCATATGACATTTTAGGTGAAACTTTCAAATTAAAACTACAAATTATTACACCCATATTATTACCCCACCAACCACACTCAAGCAGGCATTACTTCTGCTAGATGCTGTATATTAAATTCTTAGAGTATTTCAGATAACAGGAGAGCTAATATTAAAGCTTTATACCACACACTTCAAATTTGTAAATTCTACAAACTTTTATTAATAAAAAATATAATATGAAACAGTTATGATTTAAGGGAATGCAGTTCTGTACATTAATTAAGAGTTAGATTGATATAATAATAGTGTCTTGAACTCAGAAGTCTTAGCACCATACCCAACAGCTATTTGTTCTCAAACAAGTCTCCCTTCTTTGGCTCAAAGTCCTCTACAAAATAAGAATCTTACTGTCTTATTTTACAAGGTTGTTAGGATGACTGATTAAAAGAGATAATATACCAAAAAGAGGTGCTCAGAGAAACAGTATAGCACAGGAAAAATTTGTTCATGAACTTTATTTCTTGAACCTATTTTGTAATCCCAAAGAACCCCCAACGTGGGTTTTTCATAGTTTCTAACATTCACATATTGCAGGTTTCAGAAAATGTTATTAATTTTAGTTATTAGCCATTCTTTCTTTGTGGTTTCTATTTCAGGGCAAGCTATTAGATAACTTGCAGCTAAATTTACTTAGAAATATATTAATTCGTTAAATCAGATAACATAATACTCCCCTATTATTCTAGTGAATCATACCAAGGGCAGACAACTAATAGAAGTCAGGATCTGGCCTGGACTACTACTGTCCCTCCTCTACCTCCTCAAATTCTGAATGAACAGGTCTTTATGAGAATGATGCTTTATCTCCCTGTTTACCCCCAACTGACTTGGAAGATACAATACTACTTGTCACACATGGACACTGATGAGTCGTGGATGGGGCCTTAGGAATTCTAACGCCAATAACCTACTTTTGTTCAGAGCTTTCTGTTGACTTGAGTGATTGTACCACTTTAGAACAATACCAAGGTTTAAAAAAAAATGAACAACTGTACCTTTCCAGCAGCTTGACCTCTGTACCTTCCTTTTCCAAATATTCCTCTATTTGCTTTCTGTTTTCACCTACAGCAAGTGAAAGTGCTGTGCGGTTCTTCTGTAAAACAGCAAAAACAATTTATAATTTATAAAATTACACATATCCAAACTGAATTTTAAAACTTAGAAAAGATCCTCTGAACTTAAACATATAACGTAGAAAGTAAATAAAAAGTAGCCCCTTCCTTTTCAGCCCCTTCCTTTTCACCCCCATGCACTGGCTGTTCCTTCTCTATAAAATGCCCTCCTCTCCCTCTTCATTAGATTAACTGCAACATCATTATCCAGAACTCACTTCAAACATTTATAGTGCTGGTTCCAAGAATCTTTGCTCCTATCACAGTATCTATCATGATATACTGTTGTTATTTTATTGCTCCCCATCTAAACCAAGAGCTTCTTAATGGCTGAGGTTATTTTTTGATCTCTGTATAACTATAAAACACAGTAGTAAATGCTTTTAGTATTTTTATTGAATTAATAACCTAAATGATTAAATCTATAGTATTTCTTATATTATATTTCAAGGAATATGTACATTGCCAGAAGTTCTGTACTATGCCCCAAAAGAAAAAGGATCCAGAAAGATCACCTGTGTTTAAGAAATATTACAAAACTGTGCATTGTATGCCCAGTGCTAAAGAAATGTTTAACTTTGATCAATCCCAATTTGTCAATAGTTTTCTGTGGCAAACATTAACATTTGCAAATTAGAGTTCGAGGGATACAGGTTGGAGAGCTTTTCAACAGAGGTGAAGGTTTCCTCCAGGTCACACACACTTGCTTGACTCTCTCCTACCAAAGCTATCAGGGTCCCAGATGTCAACATCAGTCACTCCTTCTCCAAAAGGGTTTCTAAAAAAATGGACTCTAACTTAAAAGAGATAGGCTTCAAATGCACTTTGATTGCTTACTACTAAATGGTCCGTGGGTTTTCTTCTATTACCAGAAGATAACTTTTCATCCTAGCTGTTAGAAAGCTCAATATGAAACTATATATTCTCAATAAAGTTGACAATCCTGGGACCCTAAGGAATATATATTTTTTTAAAAAATTGTTTTAATCCTGATTCCATTTAATTGCCCTCACAGTTATATTTGAGGCAAAATATAGATCAGAAATAAAAGTAAAATGGCTTTTCAATAAAAATTTTAACTCTAACCTATACAAATTATTTTCAGCACAAAGAAAGCTACTTCCATTTTTTAGTAACAATGCTCAGGAGAAAGATATGATATTATCTGAAATATGCACACCCTATTCAATTCTAATCATGATTATCTTTCTCCTAAGACTCACAGACATTCCCATGAGAATGTGACACAATAGTAAGATGCTAGGAAAATTCCTGGACAAGTGGAATGAGGAAACTGAGACAAGAAAATTAAACAAGGCCAAACAATCTGAACAACTTACAGCAAACTGGTGAATTGCAAGACCCTATCTCTCTTAACCAAGGACACTTGAGAGCAAATGGTTTACACCTCTCCTCCCTAACCAGAGAGTACATAGCTGAAATTTCCCTGGCCTGGGAAATAGAGAACAGAGACCCAATTTGTGCCAGCTAAACCCAAGGACAGGCGAAGTCTGAGTATGAGTTAACAAAAACCCTATTAAAAGCCAGACAGATGCAAGATAAAAGTAAAACAGTATAGCAGACAAAAGAATAATCCCAAATCCCCCAATTAGCTCATTTTGATGCCATCAGCATATTAAAAAAGCACCTGGAAAGCTGATGAATATTCAGCTGAAACCTTCCCCTAAGATCCTCCCTCTCAAAGAGAGAGAAAACCCCCAAAACAAACAATATCAGTGCAAGCTCCCTCTAGAGCACGCCCACGCCTTTTTTTACTTCCTCCTGGAGTCTAATGGTCCCCATGAGACACGCAACCAGGGGAGCAGCAGGCAGGGGCAGTTAGCCCCAAGCTTATCCCCTGATCCTGTCTTCAAGGTTCCCTTTTTCTCTGACTGCTTTGGCTTCCTTCTTTCCTATAACTTTCCTAGGGAGCTAAAGCAGACAGACTACCACCTAGGCTCTCTCCTGTTGCTTCTTCTACCCTAAGTTCTTCCTTTGTTTCACTGTCCTCAGCTTTAATAAATGTACTCTCAAAATCACCTGGACTCATGTTGTAAAATCTTTCCTACATGAAGTTAAGAACCACACACTGCAGGCCAGCCTGAGTCAGACTCGCTCCAGTAACAAGAATATGATTATTTATAGAACATATAAAAGAAAAGAGTTTTTTAAAACAACAACATAAATTCTAACTTGAAAAATTCAATCTCATTCTTAGAAGATTAATATAAAATATATATTATAAATGAGTGTAGGTGGTCTTTAAGATCTTGAAGTCTTTAATAATATAAACTATAAAACAGGAATTGTAAACTTAAGTGCTTACAGAAGCAAAGTAGGTGACCCAAGTAAGTGGAGAATCTAGGTGGGGATGGCAGCAAACTAGAGAACCCATGTCTCATAGGAAAGGGGCAGCCTCTGCACAGGAGAGCAAGCAGCAGGAGGGGCTGATAAGGTGCCAGATTTGATTCTTTAAGAGAAGCTTAAAATCCAGCCCTGGCTGGTGTGGCTCAGTGGATTGAGTGCCGGCCTGTGAACCAAAGGGTCACTGGTTCAATAAAGGCTCAAGACAATATTATTGCAGGAAAGTCCTGCTTGTAATCAACACTTGCTGATCTAAGGACCTAAACAAGAACAAAAGATGCAAAATTCTTAATGGGTCAGATTCTACTTATTACCTGATGACCCATAAGCAAATTTCTAAAGACTCTCTGAGTGCCAGGGAATCTAATGGTTGAAAGGAAAAAGGTATTTTTTAAGCCAGTGATATTGCCAATAATGTTCCCTGTATAACTCCCAAATGAAGAAATAGAAAGAGTTGAAAGTCAGGCCAATATTGCTGGAATGGAAAGAGTTCAAGAAAGCATCATCACCTATAAAATTCCAGATCTTCTAGAGATTTCTTAAGTTTGTGGGATCTGTTAATTTATGTTACATTTATCCATTCAGTAGTTCTTAAACAGGTGTTGTATCCAAATCTCAAAGAAATATTTCTAAATACACACGTCCAGGCATTATTAGGTTTACTCAGTCAAAATCTTTAAGGAAGAGCGTAGGCTTGTAAACTTTTAAAAGTTCATCAGGTGACTGTGATTCACCAGCAAGCTTCAAGCTGAGAACTAGCGCAGCATACAGCCACTTTAGTCTTGTTTCTCACCTGTGTGGCAAAATCCTTCTGTCATCTGAGGACTGGGCCAAATAAAAGTGTAAGAGATAAGAGTAACTTACCAAAATTGCATGTAATTTCCTGTGTAGGGGTTGAAAGGAACCAATAAACTAAAAATGCAACTTGATTTTGTTACTTATAAACTCCTTACATCCCATTGTGACCTTCTAGATTTGGAAGCAAAGTTCAGACTCTTATCTAAGTGGCTGTTGCTGCCAGAATAGGATAATATCTCAGTTAATTACCTGTCCTTTCCTCTTGTTTCCCACTTAGTGACCACTGTTCATTCCCAGTCTGGCTGCCTCAGAGCCTCCTAATATGGATCTTGAGGCAAGTTTACAACTCACTGACGTACTCTCCCAAACTAAAACTTACTGTCCCGGAAAACTGCAGAGCACCTTACCTAAACATATGAAATGAAAAGAGAGGAAAAACCAAATACAGACAAAAAAGAAAACACAAAAAAAACTTTTCAGGTTATTTCCCCTCAATTGCCACATTTCCAAATTGGCCTGCATATTTCTGGTTGCTCTCTCCCTTTCCATTTCCTTTTTCCCTGTTAGGGAATACTTGAGCTTCCAGATATTGGGGTAGCCAAAAAGTCTGTATGGCATTTTCTGTAAAATAAAAGACACATTTTTCATTTTCACAATTAACTTTATGGATATTCTGAGTATGTCGGCTGTCTCCCACTATTGGCTTCTAGCAGGTAGAGGCCAGGGGAGCTGCTGAACATCTTCCAGTGCATAAGACAGCCCCACAGCAAAGAATTATTTGGCCAAAATGTCAATAGTTCAAGAAACTTCACAAACCACTTTTAAGACATTTGATCAGTCACAGCACCTTCTCCATGCACTGCACAAATCCTTTTTTGCATTTCAGTTGCATTTTTACCTTTCTTGAAATAATAGAGAAACATCGAAAATGTCACTAATTTTCTCCTATCTTCAATATTAAAATAACTACACAAAAATTCACCACTTTTGATAATTTTTTTAAAAATACATGCTGATATGACAGCTGTCACAATACAATCTAACAAAATTGTTTCAAATGAAGTTAAAGGCAGCTAAGCACTACTAGAGCAGTCATACAGAAAAAACTAAAGGAAGTTTTTGGCCAACCCAGTATATAAAATTGACCCTGCATTTGTCAACCAAGGCTGTTCCTGTTGGAGTTGCAGTGGCAAGAGGTAATATATCTCCAGGAGAAAAAGCAAGTGAACTGCTTTGCCATCACCTGCACCCTACATGCAACCACGACCCCACTGAGGAGCTGCACGAGGCTGAGCAGGAGCTACGCTCTGAAGTGGAAAACCCCAAGGTGGTATGTGGCTGGCAGAGGGACTATGAGCACAAGCGGATGACCCTGCTTATGTCAAGACATGACCTGACTCTCCTGTCACAACCTTCAGAACTTTGGGGTCCTGAAGTGCTCAGGGCCTGTGGACTTCTGCTTCCCTTTCCCATCTGTACTCACCCAGCTCCCCCTGCTGGGTACTGGGCCTCCTCCTCCCACCCATCCCCAGCAGCACCCTGTTTCCTAAGCCCCTGCCTGCAGAGTAGCCAGTCGCTACCATCACGTCACCCCCCAAGGGCCTTCAGTCCTTGGTGGGCTCTGAGCCTGTCACCCACTCCCAGGCACTAACAGGAAGCTTTTCCTTCTGGGGTAAAATGTAGCTGGAAATAGAGCTTTGCCCTTTCTACAGACACCACTTTTCTCCATCCCTGCTTGACCTGGCTTTGGAGTTGTTTCCAGGATAACAGGGCCTGATATACTGTATTCAGTATATGTATGTCAGAAAAAAAAATGCTTATGGCTAAAATAAAAACATGTATTTGAAATATTTTGTAAATAAAGTTACTTAATATATACCCTGTTTCTTGCTCCAATATTTGCCTTGTGTGAAAGCAGCTTTGCAACTATAGCTGTATTCTGACCAAGGACAGCGTAGTGGAGAGCCGTGTTCCCATCGATGTCCATTATATTTGGGTCGGCACCACGGTCTAGCAGAATAGTTGCACATTCCTCGTGCTGAGATTGTACAGCCTGTCAGTATTATGCCAAAAAAAGAGACTGTAAATTCTAGGAATTCAAAGTAAACATTCCACAAGTTTCATGAATAATTAATTCATAGTTATATGAGATAAATTCATTTTTACTCTAGTAATTAAATCAAATCCATCTCATGCTGACATAGTTGGCCACTACATACCTTCATCAGAGCTGTGCTGTTTTCATTGTCACCAAGGTTCAACATGCATTTTTTCTTTGCTAGGAGAGTGACCACTGCTGCATGGCCATTGGCACAGGCCAAATGTAGAGCAGTCCTACGAAAGTGAGAGAAATTTTTAGGAACCTAAACGTATAATTATTCTCTATCTCAAAACATAATTATTCAAGTGATTGTAAGCATTAAAAGTTATCCCTATGCCTTCAAAACAAATATTTAGTTTTATTCTGGAGACAGTACAATATTTATTAATTCTCATTACTCACCACATTAATGAAGGAGTAGCCTATTTGAATAGAGAGAGCATGACCTGGGCATTCAGTTCAACTTACATCTGATCTCATTTTAACTCTGTCGTGCATTAGCTATCACTTAACCTTTCTTTGCCTCAGTTTCCTCATCAACAAAATTGGGTTAAAAATAATAGTTATCTCACAGAATACCATTTTTTGCTTAAATCAAAAGCTATTCAGTGTTCACTATAGTTCCTAGCACAAAAAAAATCTCAGTAATTTAGATTATATTATTATAATTATTACTATTACTGCAACTTTACAAAGACATTTCAACTAAGTAAAATCATAACATTACACCTACTTTGCAGATGTGTTTTAAGAATTAGAACGTACAATGTATTTCAATGATTCTAAGAAGCTTATTTTTTCACATTTTAATATCTCTGACATTGGAATGCAATTTAATTCAGAGTGTCTTACAACTATAATTGGCAGCATTGTTTAAAAAATTCTTATTGGTACATAAAATATTGGACATCATACCATCCATGGTGCTTTACATTAAAAGAAAATGGTAAATACAAGGATTTCAACTTTTGCCTCTCTCATTCAACATAGTACTGGATGTCCTAGCCATAGCAATCAGACAAGAAGAAATAAAAGGCATCCAAATTGGAAAGGAAGGAGTAAAATTGTCATTATTCACACATGACATTATAGTGTACATAGAAAACTCTATAGGCTCCATCAAAAAATGACTTAACCTAATAAGTGGATTTGGCAAAGTAATGGGATACAAAGTCAATTTTTAGAAATCGATGGCATTTATGTACACCAACAATGAATTATCGGAAAGAGAAACTAAGGAAAAAATACAACTTACTACAGCAACAACATCAAAACAGTACCTAGCAATAAATTTAACCAAGGAGATAAAAAGACCTGTACTTGGAAAACTATAGAACACTGGAGAAAGAAATTGAAGAAGATGAAAATAAGTGGAAGAATATACCATGTTTATAGATAGGAAGAATTACCATCATTAAAGGGATCACAATACCTGATACCAAACTATACTACAAGGCCACTGTAATCAAAACATTCTTGTGCTGGCATAGGAACAGACACATAAATCAATAGAACAGAATAGAGAAACCAGAAATAAACCCATGTCTCTATGGTCAATTCATATTTGACAAAGGAGGCATCTGCATACAATGGAGTAGAGATAGTCTTTTCAATAAATGGTGTTGGGAAATTGGACAGGTACATACAAAAAAAGTAATGAGACCACCTACTTACACCATAGACCAGAATAAACTCAAAATGGATAAAAGACTTAAAAAGAAGTTATGATTCCATAAAAATTCTAGTGAAAAACATAGGCAGTAAAATTCCAGATGTCTCACGTAGGAATGTTTTTTCCCATGTATCTGCAAATAAACAAATGGGACCACATCAAATTAAAAAGCTTCTGCACGGCTAAAGAAACCATCATTAAAATGAAAAGAGAACTGAGTGTATGGGAGAACATGTTTGCCAACAATGCATCAGACAAGGGTTTAATCTCAAAAATATAAAAAGAACTCATGCAACTCAACACCAGGAAGACAAACAATCCAATTAAAAAATGGGCAAAAGACCTGAATAGACACTTCCCCAAGGAGGACATACAGATGGTCCATAGACATATGAAAAGATGCTCAACATCACTACACATCAGAGAGATCCAAATTAAAACCAAATCACCTCACACTTGCCAAAATGGCTCTCATTAATAAATCAACAAAAAACAAGTGCTGGTGAGGATGTGGAGAAAAAGGAACACTAGTGCACTGTTGATGGGAATGCAGTCTGCTGCAGCTAATGCGGAAAATGGTATGGAATTTCCTCAAAAAATTAAAAATGAAACTGCCTTTTGACCCAGCAATTTCACTGCTGGGAATATATCCTAAGAAGCCCAAAACACCAATTCAAAATAATTTATGCACTCCTATGTTTACAGCAGTAATATTTACAATAGTTAAGTGCTGGAAAGAGCCTAAGCCCCCATTGGTAGATGAGTGGATTAAAAAACTGATACATTTACACAATGGAATACTACAAAGCAGAAAGAAAGAATTCCTACATTTTATGACATCATGGATGGAACTGGAGACTATTATGCTAAGTAAAATAAGCCAGTCGGTAAATGATAAATACCATATGATCTCACTTATAAGAAGAATTTAATGAACAAAATAAACTAATGAGCAAAATAGAACAAGAGGCATAGAATCATGAAATAAATTGACAGCTGTAAGAGGGGAAGAAAGAGGTGAGGATTGTTTGAAAGAAGGTGAAGGAATTAGTCAAAGAACATATATGAAAGATCCATGGATATAAATAATGGTGTGTGCAGAATGACTATGGAAGCAGGGAGTGGGTGAGATGGAGGAGGGTTAAGGGGGGAAAAGTTAGGACAACTCTCATAGTATAAACAATTTTTAAAAAACCCATCTATTGGCTATGCATATTAAAATTTCAAGCTAAAAAAACAAAACAAAGGATATTATTTTCTGATAGACAATTTTAATTTTTTATATTACACAGTCAACCTCAGAAACTTTGCTTTTGAGGTCTTTGTCAACTTAAAAAATATTGAGGTCAAGAAAAAGTCCAGCCATTGTTAATATAATGAAAACAATTTGTGCAGCATCAGTGTAACATGGCAGCCAAGGAGAGTGGACTGGAATGCCCATGCATGAATGAAGATGACTTTTCTGTAACTAGTCAGTGGGGGTAGTAGACACCACTGAGTGAGCATGTATATTGTGTGGCCGTCACATACAAAATGACTGAAGGAGTAGAGCAATGAATCTGCATCAAATTTTGCTTTAAGCTTGAACATTCCTCTGCAGAAACTGTTTGGATGATTTAGGCTTTTGGGTATGATGGAATGAGTGCCGCGCAAGTAAGAGTGTGGCACAAACATTTCAAAGATGGCTGAGAATCTGTTGAAAGTGGCCTGCAACAAGTAGATCACCTGAGAGTGTTGAACATGTACAGGTTACAATCAGCAAAGATCAGTAACTGACAGTGAGAGAACTAGAAGCAGATCTGGGGATTCCAAAAACTACTGTGTCTGAGTTTTTGATACAGGATCTTGGCATGAAACATGTTGTGGCAAAATTCTTTCCACAGTTTCTGCTACCAGAGCAGAAGGAACATATTTCTGTAGTTGCTAATGACTTGATTTAAAGTGCTACAAATTAACCAGATTTCCTCAAGAGGGTCATAACTGGAGCTGAATTGTGAGTATACAGCTACTCGCATAATCCAGAAATGAAAGCCCTGTTGCCCAATGGAAGTCACCTGGTTCTATATGCCCAAAGAAGGCATGGTGAAGTCACAACAAGATCAAGACCATGTTAACTGTGTTTTTTTGATTGGGAAGGAGTTGTCCATCATGAGTTTGCCCCTCCAAGCCAAACAATTAATAAGGAGTACCACCTCAAAATTCTTTGTGGGTTGAGAGATACAATATGACAACTATGGCCGTAGCTATGGCAACTTCATCACAACAATGCACCTGCTCACGCATCACGTTGAGATGTGATAAAGAGCTTTATGGTGACACATCAAATCACCCAGGTGACTCACCCTCCCTATATCCCAGATTTGATACCCTTAGACTTCTGGATTTTCCCAAAACTGAAATCACCTTGAAAAGAGATTTCAGACCATCAATGAGATTCAGGGAAATACTACAGGGCAGCCGATGGCCATTCCAACAAAGGATTTTGCAGAATGTTTTGAACAGTGGAAGACACACTGGGAGAAGTGTGTGAGGTCTCAAGGTGCCTACGTTGAAGGGGACTGAGATATCATTGTCCTGTGTACAATGTTTCTTGTATCTTCTTTACTAAATGTCTCTATTTTTCATAGTATATGGCTTGATACTTCCTGGACAGACCTTGTACATCAGTGTACACTGATATAAAATGGATATTGAATTTTATCCCAGGAATTTTTAGCCCAGAAGTTGATCTATTATGGATATTATTTCCCTTATTATGCACTTTTCTATAGTATATAGCATCGTTAGGTAGATAGAAGTTAGAAAATGCACGAGGAAAGTGGGAGAAGGTCCACAGTCCTCAAAGAAGAAGCCCATAAACAACTTTAGTTAACTACCCAAACTGATAAACTGCCTCTGGTCACCTGTCTGTTTTACAAAGGATGGCAAGAGGTGGCCTGGAGCAAGATCAGAATCTGGCTAACAACCTTCCTTGCACGCCTATGTTTATTTAGGTGGTCACGTTGGGGGCCGGGGGGGGCGCGGGTGGCGGAGCTGGCACCACCTTTAACCACCAATCAATGTGTAACTCCCTTGCCCCATCCCGCCAACTGCGTGAGTCCTCTCACAAAGGACCTGAGGCCTTGCCCTGTCCTTTACCCATGCCTTTCTCCCCATCTCCGCCAAGGCCCATGCTCTTCCACGAGAACCTGTCACCAATAAATTCTACCTATATACTAATCAGCTTGCTGATCTTTGATTCTTTACTGCATGGGTGAGAAGAACCGAGTTTCCCACAACATATGAACATCAAATATAAAATGCTACATATACTTAAAGTGTCTTTTGAGAGGAATGATGAGTGGGTCCTTAAGTTTTTGTTTTTGCTGCTCCTAAAGTCGGCCTGAGCGCTAGACCCCACGTGAGGTCACCACCACCGAGGTGCTGCGGCGGGAAGGCAGCCCAGCGCCCTCCGTGACAGGAGGGCTGAGCTCCACCTGGCTGAGCTCCACCGGGCTGAGCCCGGACAGGTGAGCGCTTCTCCCAGGTCCACTCCACCTCCTCCCGGTCGGTCGACCCCTCGCCCTGGCCGCTGGCCTCGCAGTTCCTATTACCTGTTCTTCTTATCTCTGTCATTCACGCCATTTATCCGGAGCAATAGACTCTGCTTCACTTTTGTTACATTGCCCGTTACAGCAGCTTTGTGGATCATTCCCAGGTCCTTGTCCAGGATCTGGTACGCCTGCCGCGAGGTGGCATTATTACTGCTGTTATTTCCCACTATCTGTTTCCCTGAAGTGGTGGACAAGTCCCTCCTTCTCCGCAAAACAAAAATCTTCTTCATCGCAGATAGCCTAAGGGCTTCAGAGAAGCCTCATTTTCACCTCAGCTTTTCGAGGCCTCATGAGCCCCACACTATCGCTTTAGACAAGCCAATCTCCTCACTATCGCTTTAGACAAACCAAACGGCCTCACTATCGCTCTAGATAAGCCAACCAGCTCTCTCTATCGCTCTAGATAAGCCAACCGCCCCACACCAAAACACTCCAACTGGGCAGAACGGCGGTTTGGAATCTTTCAGCCCAAAACTATGGTAACCAAACAACGCTCCGCCCCCACCCCCCATGCAAACACAATTGCAGGTGTACCCCTCGGATTCCAAGCACTACGCATGCACACAAACGCCCTGCACCCAAAGATACCCAGAGGGCGAAAGCTAGGCCCAGGCATTTAAAAAACTTAGCGATTGTGAACAGTGCGGGTTCCGTTCAAACGCCAGTGGGAGTTAGCAGTGTTTTAATAAATCTACAAAAGTTAAAAGCACCCCAGTGGAAAGCTGTCTTCGCTTACGTCTGGGGCTACAGTGGTGTGAAATTTCAGGGTGCTGAAGGCCTCCAGCTCATAAAGCTCCCCTAAAAAACTAATGTATCTCCGTGCCCCTCTGTTTATTCCTCTTCCACTTACCTCTGTGCCCCATCCAATTTCCAAGGAATTTTACAGATGCAACAAGTTTTTCACTGTTTCAGCGATTGTGGCAATATGTGTATACAAATGAAAATTTTTAAGAAACCAATGTACCTTCTCTAGATCAAATGAAAACTCATTTCTGCATGCCTCTAAATCCTCCACTTTGTCCTAGTCTTCAATTTCCATTTTACTTTTATTTCCCCCAATTAAATCTTTAATCAATCCAAGATTTATTTCGGAGTATGGTGTAACATTAAAGAATCTTTTCTAAAAAACGGCTCTTCATGTGTTGCAAACCATCCTCACCTAGTTTTAAATGCCACTTTACTGTGCATTGAATTCTCAGGTTATGTTAATTTCTAGGTTTTCTGTTCTCATCCATTGGATATTCTGCTTCTTGCATCAGTACTCCTCTATTTTAATTTCTTTATAAAATGTATTTTAATGTTACAGTTCCAAAGTTTCCCCTCCTTGTTATCCTTTTCAGTATTCTCTTGGCAATGTTTACTTCAATATTTGCAATGAGTACTTGAAAAATGTACCCTACTAGTTTCCTCAGACTCCTAAAAGCTCTCTGTAGTGACAGCTCAAGAGAAAACTCAGGCATTTCCTGATGAAGCTTATAATGAGTGTCAAAGATGTTACCAGACTGCAGAGGAGGAGCTACACACCAAGAGTCCAGGTTGGTTGTAGAGATTTGGTTGACCCTAGTGTTTTTGTATGGACCAAAGCAACTTAAGATGTGTATGTTCAACTTCTGAGCTTCTGTGTTCCTTAATCAAATGCAGAGATTAGGTCAACTCTGAGCTTCTGTGTTCCTTAGTCAAATGCTACCTGGATACCGAATTTCTTACAAGCAATTGAAAAGTTAAGATTTCCCATTCCCACAGTGCAAATGACGAAACTAATTTCAGATCCAGTGCAGATGCCCTGTAGAAAGCTGTTGCTTATAACTCTTGTGCCTATCTAAGACTCAGATAATGCCCTAGTTTAGCTTTCCAGCACGCTCATTTAAGTTATGCTAATGGATTAATGTGTTGAGTGTTATGATGAAAAACAACTGAGATGGATACCGTAACAAATCCCTTAGCAAGTTTTCTAATTCCAATCCAAAGGCCATTTATGTTTTGTTCTTGTAAGTTATGAGGAAACGTATCAAGCACTTTGCCACAACTGATTCACTTGCTCTTTGGCATGTACAAAACCAAGGCTAACTTGAAAATGACCTGAACATTGAATGTGCTTGCCAGCCAAAGTTAGCAGAGTGGAAGGCCTTGAATAATTGGGTTTGAACACAACCTGGGTTCAATCTTTGGCTAAATGCTACGCTATGGAGACACAGTTGCAAACCCTAGGCAACAAGATTTAAACATTTTTTAAATGAACAGAGACATGAGTGGGTACACACTCTAGTAAGGAGAGACTTCACAAATTTACTAGATGCAAATTATAAAACAAAGCGACCCTCTACAAAGTAAATCACTCATTTGCAACATTAGCTGAAATTCAATAAAATTACAAAGAAACAAGAAAATGGGCCTTTACTAAGAAAGAAAATAGAAACTGTGTATCTCCTCCACATTTTGGATTGATCAGAGACTTCAAAGAAGCTATTAGGAACATATTCAAAGAACTAATGGAAGTCATGTTTAAAGAATTAATGAAAACTGCCCTGGGGACATAGCTCATTTAGTCAGAGCACTGTGCCAATACAGTAACGTTGCATGTTTGATTCCTAGTCAGGGCTCATACAAGAATCAACCAATGGATGCATAACTAAGTGAAAAAACAAATCTGTTTCTCTCTCCCCCCACTCTAAAATCAATAAATTAAAAAATTTTTAAGAATGAAACCTATGATGAAAACAATACAATGCAGAATCTCAATTAAGATATAGAGTATATGAGAGACCAAATAAGAATTTGGTGCTGAAACACAGAAAGGAAAAGAAATCAACAGACAAGGGGGGGGGGGGGGGGGAAAAGGAAGGGAAGGGGAAAAGTCAAGGAACATATAGCAAGGACTCATGGACAAAACCAAAGGGAAAGAGCTGAGGGAGGGAAGGAGGGAAGGGGCAAGGGAAAGTGGTGGGGGGTAGGCAGAGACAAATGTATTTGAAAAAATAAATTAAAAAAATAAATAAAAAAATAGCTAATTCTAGTTAAAATAAAAAAAAATTGGTGCTGAAAACTAAAATGATCTGAAATGAAAAATTCAGTTGATTTGACATGGTAGAAGAATCCAGTAACCTTGAAGAATCAACAGAAATTACTGAAACTGAAGAGGACAGAACAACGAAAAATAGTAACAAAGCCTGAGAGACCAGATCAGCATCAAGTGTGTCAACACATGAGAAAGGATATTTTCAGAAGAGAGAAAACAAATAGGTAAGTATATTGGAAGAAATAATTGTCAAAAACTCGTTTGATGAAAAATATTGATTTACAGATTCAAGAAGCTCAGAAAAATCAAGTAGAAAAAACACAAGGACGTGTACACCTAAATATATCACAGACAAACTATTAAAAGACAAGGCTAAGAAAACTCTTAAAAACAACAAAAGAAAAACAGGAGATAAACAACCTATAAACAAAGACGACCCTAATTTTGGTTAACAGCTGACTTATCAAAAATAATGGAAGTCAGGAGTCTGTGAGAAAACATATTCAAAGTGATTAAAGAAAAAAAAAAACTGACCATGTATTACTCTATATTCAACAAAACAATTCTTTTTTAAAAGGCAAAATAAACACATTCCCAAAGACTGAGGATATAAAATTATATAAAGCAGTAGTTATTTGTACTGTTGAGTTGTAACAGGAACAGATATAACAAATGACACTATCAGCACAAAGATATACTAAAACAAAATTAGTACATTTTAACAGAATTTGTATTATTTTGTGGTAAGTTGATGCATATTATCATCCCTAGAGCAACCACTAAGATATAACTCAAAAAAAGAGGAACAGAGGAATCTCTTTGCCTATGATAAAAACAGAAAATAGCAGGTATCAAAAACAACTGTATCAATATTAAACAGGAATGAACTACATCTCCAACTCAAATAACAGGGGATAGTGAGACTGGATTTTAAAAAGGCAAGATCCAATCATGGCCAGGTGGCTCAGCTGGCTGGAACATCGCCCTGTATACCCAAAGGTTGTGGGTTTGATTCCCACTCAGGGCGCATACAGGAGGCATCCAATGAATGCTCTCTCTCATATCAATGTTTCTCTCCTCCTCCTCCTCTCTCTAAAATCAATAAACATATCCTTGGGTGAAGATTATAAAAAGAGGCAAGCTCATACAGGACATGTATTCATAATATCTGGTTTCTTTTTTTAAAAAAATATTTTATTTACTTTTAGAGAGAAGGGAAAGGAAGGAGAAAGAGAGAAACATCAATGCGTGGTTGCCTCTTGCACACCCCATACTGGGGACCTGGCCCACAACGCAAGCATGCACCCTGACTGGGAATTGAACCCGCGACCCTTTGGTTCACAGGCCAGTGCTCAATCCACTGAGGTACACCAGCCAGGGACATAATATATGGTTTCTTAAAATGCCTACAACAAGCAACTTTTGAAGGGGTAGAGGGTCATATATTTGAATTGGTATGTCTCCAAATATCTAAGAATGGCAAATAGCGCAGGACAGAACGCTCGACATCACTTGTGCTAGGAAAATATGTTAAATCCACAATGAGATATTATTTCATATCCACTAGAATGGCCTTATCAAAAAGACAAACTATAAGAAGTACTGTGTAAGATGTGGAGACACTGGAAACTTAAAACATTGGTGAATGGAATATCATATGGTATAGTTACTTTGAAAACAGTTTCTCAGGTTCATAAAACTTACTACCTTAGTTATCAATTTTAATCCCAGAAGTCTACCCAAGAAAAATGAAACATGAATCCACACAAGGACATGTACACACACACATATATATACACACACAAAGGAGAGAGTGGAAAGGAGGAAAAGAGAAAAAGGGAGGTGGCAATAAAAACAATTAGGCAAACGAATACGATTTATTAATCTATGTCAAGCACGTATGGAGGTTCCTTCTACTATTCTGGTAACATTCTGCAAGTCTTAAATTAGATAAAAAATTTAAAATTATTTTAAAAAGGGGCAAGATTCTCATGTGGCAAGTTCCTCCTATCAACATCTTCAATGAAGACCATATACAGCTTAAAAGTTATTAGAAAACTATAGGTAATTTTAATAAAATCACTTCAAGAATATAATTTGGTTAAATATAAAAACCAATACAATGTACTCTAAAATAATCTTTCTATTGAGTTAAATAAATTTATCTGTAAATCCTGTAACAGTATGTTCATATTCACAAATTCTGAATGAAAA